GGCCCCAGCATGGGCCTCAAGCCGATTTGCTCTACCCCGTCCCCCTTGCATTCTGGGGTGGCCGGGGCCCGCACAGGGTGCGCGTGTCCAGACCCACACACTGGTGGGCCGATCGGGGCCAGGCGAGGGGGGGCAGCGAGCAAAGCCTCCGGCACTGCTCTGGAGAGTGCCCCCTCCATGTGCTCTCATGGGGGAAAGGGGGGGGGGGGAGGCCACGACTGCACGGGGAACCCATAGGTCCAGGCTCTTGGTGAGGGGAAAAAACAATCCCCCGGATGGGGCAGCCGGAAAATATGACTCGCGGCCGAGCATATTTCTTCCCTCTGCGCCCTCCTCCCCATTCACAGAGCCGCACGACATATATGACTCCCATGGCTTACGGCGAGGCTCCCCCACTCTTCCCTTTCGAAGGCTCACGTCCACCGGTATGCCGCCCGAAGGCGCCTCCTCGCCTCGAGCCTCGAAGGGCCCAGAGAGTGGTCACGCCAGGGGCGTGGCAGAAGAGGGCGCCGCTCCCTCCACCCTTGGCCGACGACCCCCCTGTCCTTTGTTCCATGGAAGCCGGCCCACATGTCAGTATAGGTGTCTTCGACGTGGTCTCGGTGGCGGCGGCCGGGAAGGGGGGGGGGGGGAGTGAACGGAGCGACCCATGTAGCAGCCCCCCTCCCTGCCCCCCCCCCCTCCGCCCTCTGGACCGAGTTGGCTGGCCCCCCGCTGCCCGCCCATAACCGGGGGGGAATACATGAACAAAATGGTCCTTCACCCCCATCGGAGTTGGTGAGTAGTGGCATTTGCCATTGCATAAGGGTACGGCGTGCTTCCGCTCGCGAGGGCCCCCGCGCCCCGCCGGGCTGGCTCACCCTCGGCAGGGGGACCGGCGACAAGCCGCCACCCTGAGGCCGCCCTCGGAAACAGCAGCGAGGCCGGGCCAGGGCGAATCATTAACCAGCACACGGTTCTGCATGTGGCGCGCCTCGCTTGTCCGGGAGGGGCCCGGGCGTGGCGCCGCGCCCGGGGTGGCACGGGCGCTGGGAGGGCCTTTTTCGGTTCACGACCCAGCCCCACTGCAGGGGCGCCTCCAAACTCATGGTGCATTTATCCGCGCCAGACCGGGGCGCCCGAGTGCCGAGGCACCTGAACCCGGTGCTGCCGAGAAGCCGGCCTGCAAGCTCAGAACAGCCAATCACGCACAACAGACGCAAGCCCCCCCCCCGGCCCGGACAGGGACCGAGCGCGCCTTTCGACCGAGCTCCCACCTCCCTCTCTCTCACACACACGCACACACACACACACACACACACACACACACCCTCCCTCACTCTCTCTCGACCTCCTCACTGGCTGTGTGTATCCGATTGTGATGCTGCCCAGGGACATACACAGGTCGAGGAATCATGGGGGAGGTCTCACGCACTTTGGCGCCACTCCCTGGCCCTGCCGGCCCCCTCCCTCCGGGGCAGCGCAATTGCATCGTCAGCGCCCCTTCCATCGGCCAGGGATGGGCCCTCCCGGGACGGACCCCCGGGGGTAGGCTAGTGGGGGCACCGGGGGGCGCGTAGTGCGCCATGTCGGTCGGCGGTGCGCACTCGATGGTCTGGACCCGGGAATCCCCTGCACCTCGGGGCCCTTTTCGCTTGAAGTCAGCCCCCCATCCATCCTCCCGGAAAGGTTGGTGTCTTCCCCTGCATGGTCCCCTCCCCGTGGAACGGTGGCCAGAAATGATCCCGCAAGGATGCGCCCGGTAGCTGGATTGGCTGGCACCCTTGGTGGGCAGAGCCATGGGCCTCAAAATCTCTGTTACTCCGTTGGTGCTGGTGGGATGCGCTCGAGCCGCGCTCCGTCGCCCGTCGCCCCTGCCCCCCCCCCCCCCCCCCCCCCCCCCCC